ATTTAAGCTATATAGTCTAAATATTTATGTTTTCGTGTTATAATGTGTGTTCATTCTAGAATGGAAGAGGCAAAATTTATATTTATTTCCTAATTTTTTATGGTTGCGAGATCGGTCAAATCTACCGAACCCATACAGAGATTAATTATTGAAAATAACAGGTAAACTATAAAGTTTTTTTTAAAGAAATGTTTGATAACTATCTGATCATTATAAAGATTTTGCATGTGAAATTTCAAAATTTGTGGATGCATAAAAGTATTTTTAATAATAAAATGAATAAACGAGAAAAACATTGCTTTACAAATCTTAAGACTTAATAAAAAAAATTTATATTTTACTTATGAAAGCATTGTAATCTTTACTGATAATCTGCCCAATTTCGTTAACATTCACTTACTAATTTAAAAGTTATAACATGAAAACTATAAGAAGAACAAAATGGTTATGAGGTCAGTTCCAGGGACCGGGCCTGTGCTGAAAGAGTTAATTTGCTATTTCTTGTACCTTTGTATAGAATGAACACATAACATTGTTATTTTAGTTCAGTTGCTTCTATAAGGCAGCCGGTAGCACTGCCTATGTAGGAATGGCTCGATTTTTCATCGAAATGGTATTTTAAATATCTTCTCAATATGTCATCAGAACTTTACAATACCATACATTGTTTCCTTTTAAAACAATATCTATGTAATGACTGAGTCACAAGTTCTGGAAATGTCTGTAAATATCATAAAAAGTTTGAATTTCTTGTTTTTCTTTATTACATAATAACTCAAAAACCAAAACAATGGTGTCAACCAATTTCATTGAGGTGACATAATTCTAGTGTAAAGATGTTATCATTACCCCTTGAAAGTAGCTTTCTTACAGAAATTTGGTGTTCCTTTAAAAAACTCAAGTACAGGGTGAAACCTTTCCAATAAGTTGACAACCTGGACTGATAACGGTAATGCAATATTTAATTCATTATTGTTTTATAGTGCTGATTCAATCACCTATTGATAATTATTGTAATCAATAGTTTAAAAGCTCTATATATATCACACTGCTTGGAAAAAATTGTTCAGTATAGCATATTATCCCACATCCACATAATTCAGAATGTTTTAGCATCCACATACACAAACAAATTAGCATATCACTTTTCCACACTTTAAGCAGCTGATGACGTTTCTTAAATACATAAAATCTTGGCATCCTTTATATACTGAAACTACTAATCAACCCTAGTCTGTATTTAAACTCACCATGTTCTTTTGGAAAAACTGCTGGGTGAGCCATGCCACATGTTCAAGGGGGTGTATGAATACTTCTGGCAGGGCAATATTTATATATGTTATGAAAAAATTAACATATCACACAGACATATTGTATTACTATTAATAACATAAAGATACTGTATAATTATGGATGTATTTGCACTTTACTATCTATATAAGAAAACTATATGTTATACTCTAAACATGAAATATGTGTACTAACCGTATCACAGGTAAGACATTGTACTGAACTTAAAATCTTCCCATCAAAAATATCTGAGATCACACTGCGACAGACGACAGATTTTCTTCTTTTTCCAAGAGACTTAATATTGAGAATATAGCCCTGTGATGATGGAGACAGTCTTTCTCTTTGTCCATGGCTTCGCGTCTGTAATTTTCCAGAGTGAATTCCTTGATTGCTATGCCTTCTCTGCTCTGATTGACGACTATTCCTCTGATTTACAGGGGGAGACTTTTTTTCATGAAGAAGGTGTCCTTCGGGAGTTTCTGTGGATGGTATTTCCCGATCACAATCACCAGCTCCTAGACAGCACTTATCCTCTAGAGTTGAGGCTTCTTGTGAAACATTCATAGGTTCACTTATTTCTCTTAAGTTTTCTTGTTGGTTAATTGCTGGTTCAGAGTTAACTGACAATTGGACATGCTGTAAATTAACTCCATTACAGTCAACTCCAGATGAACCTTTTGTGTCTTCTTCTGTAACAACAAAATCTCTACCCTCTGGGTTTTCATCATCACATGAACTTTTTTCACTACTTAGTCCAGAATCACATGTTTCAAACTCAGCTTCAGATGGACTTGAATCTTCTAAATGTCCAACTGGTCCTTCCCCTTGGCAGCTATCAAATTCATCATTACAATCAGAAGAAACACTGCTATCTACTTCAACACTAGGTTCTTTTAATTCCTCATGAAGCTGATCCATTATACATCGTAAAAACTCTTGAGCATCCTAAAAAGAAGTTAAAAAATGGTAATTCATATCATACAAGCTTTCAAATTATTGTAAATCAAACAATGTTTTAAGAAAAGAAAGGCATCCAGCTTTTAAAGTTATATCATATCACTTTCATATCAATATTTTAAAGTACTTGCTTGTTGTTAAATAATTTTTTTATACCATTACAGGCTAATTTAAAAATTCTCAGATTTCTCAAAGAAAACTAAAATTAGTATATAAAACTCGTTCATAATTTTTGAAAATGAGAAAAATTAACAAGCTTGAGCCAGTTAGAACTGACAAATGGTCCATTTATAATAAATGGAGGTTTAGATACAGCTTGATAAAATATGATTCAGTGTAACCTAAAACAATACTTGGATAATGTCTGTCATTACCTCTATATTGTAATGCTATTATCTGTCTTTTATGAATTTTACTGAATGCCCAAAGATGATAACAATAGAAAAAGAATGAAGAAAAATGTGGAACTTTAATGTTTGTCATATTATGGTACATTTAAGTAAAAGACAAGTTTCTTGACCCAATGCATCCAACAGTTTAAAGAAGGAATGGGGAGGGGTGAAGAGTCCTCAGTGTCTCAAATTATCAGTTTGTTTTTATTACTGTTTACTACCAGTTATGGTCCACATATTGCATCATAATGACTAATTAAAATTTTTCATTTGCTACAACACTCACTGTAAATAAGTGATCAAAATAAATTATGTGAAATTACTCATTATCTGTGTAAAATATGTAGCAGATCAGTAATAACTGGAATTAATTGCAATATTTATGATAAACTTCTTTACATTTTTGGTGTGATTCATGTTATTAGAGACTCTGTAGTTAATAAAATAATGGACACACTAGAATTTTCATGCATGATCAGTTCAAAAGTAAATGTGTTTAAAGAAGTTCATAGAGTCCATATTGCTCCCAATAATTATTTTAGGGTTAAGTAAATTTCCCACTGCTATATATATTGGGGTTCCGCTTTATTGACTTTAATTTCTTCGCTTTCAGTTTCAAGTTCTTAACATCATTCAAATTTAAAATAATTTCAAATAGATGCCTAAACCTGTAAGTTATTTCCTTGGGCACTCTCACTAAACTTTTTTTTTCCCCTCTCATTTTGTGACACAATTCACTACATTCTTATTTAAAAGATTCAAGTCACTTTAGAGTGCAACTATTCTCATCAATTGTTCTTTACACATTTTCAAGCTCAGTGGAACAAAACTGGTTTGTTCCAAAATCCACTTAAGGCATGGAATCAGATGTGAGTAGAGAGATAAGTATGGATGTCTTTACTTGAAATTAAATTTATTAATATTCTAGGAACAATATCTTACTTTCCTCTACATTACAGACAGCTAACAGCCCCCCCACACAAATAAGGGAGGATTTGTAAGTGCGTAAGGGGCACTATCTTTTCCAACAAGGGAAAAGGTGGGCCAAGTGATATTTAATATGAATCACACACAAAAACAGTTACCTATGACAAAGGATAACACATATAATACTGAATGGTCATTCTTTAAATACATTGAAAATATATAAATAAATTACAAATTGTCATATTTCCTAAATGTAAGTATTATCCATTTTGGTTTAGAAGAGAATTATTCTCTTTAAAAAAAACAAGAGAACATCTTTGTACTTTGCTTTCCCAGGAAGTTTCACATTTGGAATTTAAATGTTATTCTATTGGTAGTCCACAAGACTGTTCTGCAGGAGCTTTTTTTTCTTGGTATGATTTTTCTTTACATGAATTACATGTTCATCAAGTCTTTCATGTATGAGGTGACCTGTTCCTCATACACATGTATCTAAGCACTGAAATGTATTCTTTTGAACCCTTTCGCAATGGGAGCCCCTTGAAATGCTTTTCTGCGCAAGTCATTGTGTTACATTTAAAATTTAATTAAACAACTTTAATATCAATGTATGTGAATGAATTTAATATTATAATATGTGTGTTATGATTTGAAGTTTTATTGTATCCAAGTTTTAAGTCCTTTATTACAAAATAAACCCTTTTAAAAAACTACTTAAAACTTCAGATGTACTGTTACATGACCAATAAGTTATAATTAAAAGGTTTAAACACTTTTTAAATATACATCATACTTTGCATCTGTTCTCAAGGCTTACGATATTACGAAAATTTTGCTGAAGGATTGTGCGTGTCTCCCAAAGAAATTGTAATATCCTCAAGGGTACTGTTGACTTGTGTTGAGATGAATAATAAGTTGTAAAAGACAAGAAAGGAAAATAAAACATTAAAAATTAACTATATGTGAAAAGAAAAAGAGATGAAATTATTAATTTAACAAAAAGGAAACTCTTTAAAGATATTATACAAAAAATGAGAAGGTATGTATTTTTTTCTATGTCCTAATTTTAATTACTTCTTTGCATTGTATGTTAATGATAATATCTAGAGTTAGTGATATGGCAGAGAAAGTGAAAATTAAAATATAAAAATTTACCTTAAAATTTACCTCCTTTTAGGAGGTTCTAGATTATGCAAATGAGATTTGAAAAACTACAAGACGAAGAAAAGTATATTTAAACATAGAATGAAAATCACCTTGCACTTGATTTGTTACTAGTTTAAATGGGAGTAATTACAATAGAAAAATTACACATTTTTAGTAAAAACACTTAATTTTAAAACAGTCATTACTTCTGTACAAGGTACTTATGATCTTAAATGAAATATTACCATTTTTCGAGAGGATACATTAAGAAATCTCAGAGTTACCACATGTATTGTTGTATAAGTGAAATTCGTGGCTCGATTTACACAAATTGCATTAGCCCACCATGAAAGGGTTAAAAGATAACACTTTAATAAATTCTGGGAGTATTATGACATCAAGACTGTACACTTTAGCCATTTGTTTTTTGAGAAATTTGAGTGTTAAAAACAGAAAGAACAATTTGGTTTCTGTTTTTTTTCTTTTGGTTTTTGAAATATTAGTTGCTTAGGAATGATTTTTTTTGTAGCCTCATGTAACTAAAGTTATACTGTTATCAAAACAGATCATAATTCATGTACTACTGAGATTTTGTTGTTGTTGTTATTTATAGGCCTTAACAAAAAATAATGAAAACATTACATCTCCTTCCTTGTTAATAAAATTTTCAGAAGGTACAAAATACTTAAATAAAGAAGTATGAGATTATCTCCAATACAAAATACAATAGTTCAAGAATTAAAAGTCAGATCAACAAGAAACCAAAAGAAAATATGATGCAGATAGTTAAGATTCAAATATGAATGAAATAACAATAGCAAAAATAATGGACCAACATAACATGACTACATGAATGGAATGGGTCCTTGGGTATGAAAACGAAGTCATTTAAATCGAGTACCTTCCTGGCAGTTTATGTAGCTTTATAGGATGATCACAGAATTTCAAAGATATAACTTAAAATAATCAACTACATAAGTTGATAAAACTAACCGCGAAAGACTGAAACTTTAAGAGTACTCTCGAATAATCACACATTACTGAATTAAATGCCAGTGCATTACTGCAAAAATCTCAAGAAATACTATGTAAACATGTTGTTTCCCTTAACATGACAAAAACTCAAAGGACATAAAAAATGGCAATGCATCAAATAAAGACTATTTTGGACACTAGTATGGTGAATATCAAGCACAGCAAATGTGAAGTCTGGGTGAAATACATAAATCTAGGAAATTCAAAAGTTCTGGATTAATGATATAAAAAAATCATTTAAAAAACCTGCACTGTGATTTATGTAAATTTGATATAAAGCATACAAAAAGTCAAAATATGGACTCTTGAAACCAAATCAGTAATATAGCTGCAAACAGAAAGAAGTCTGAAGTAGTAAATGAATCACAACTATAACTAAGTACGAAATGAAAAGTAAATGTGCAACATTATGACTGGACTGAAGTTTTAGGATAATGGTTTCAAGAATATGCTATAAGAACACTGAGCAGACACAGATATGTAGGGAAAGGATATATGTTCAAAGATTAATAATGTAAAGAAATGTGGATCCCATAAAAGAGGATGTAATGTATGGTATCACAAAATGATATTTAGAAGTGTCAAGTTAAAGGCTTGGTAACAAGAGTTCAAGTCAAAGAAAAGCTATTTGTCTATAATTGGTAACTTAATTATTTTTCTAAAAGAATATGAAATGATTACTGATTAATAAAATCTTAGCATGTAACTTAGATCTTTTGGTATGAAAACCTTATACAGATAAGAAAATAATTGAAACATTAATGTTGGACATTACACATATCAGTTCCCAAAACTCAACTTTTGATAAAGATGATGATCTGTAATCTTAAGAAGCAAATGTCTGAAACAGATAGACACAATACATGACTAATTAAGTACTAAAGTGAATTATCAAAGTTAAAAGTATAAGAAAGAAAACCCACCTGTTGCCCATAGCCTCTAAATACAGGAAACACCATTTTAATCCCATAGGCCACACCAGAAGGGACAACGTAACTGGGTCTGTTGTAATTTTTAGAATATGAATAATTCACGTTATTTCTATTATTGTCGTCAGATAAATTCTTACACATCTAAAACAATTTAAAATACCTTGAATAATGAAAAAGCTGCATCATAAAATATCTATTTATATTTAGAATTAATGAGTGAATACTTGGGGTCACTATGTAAACTTTAAATTTCTGAAAATAATTTTATAATAAAAATGATAAATGTTTTGAGTTTTTGCCTCTCTTCTTCAAAAAACATTACATTTAAATGATCCCATTTTGAAACACTAAGTAAAGCCATAAAGCTAGTTAAGTACTGATATTTTCAAGCTTACCTTTTCTTGTGCCACATCTCTTTGACCAATTTCATATAGTTTCTTGCTACATTAGGTTTTTTGTCAGACCGTATAAATGAACCACAATCCAGGAAAAAATTTGTCAACTGAGGACTGGAATAAAAACAATAACAGTAAATAACAATCATGTTGTTAAAATATTATCTCAATAACTGTTTTCTGTTATACACCTATTTTTTTTAAAGTTTTTACAGTGATAGAATAATGCTCATAATCTGGGAATGTGTACAAACTTTAACAATTTTGTTTGATAAATAAATGTTGAAATTATGACATCAGAACTAAAAACACACATGTAAATAAAATTGGATAACAACTTTTAAAAACAGACAAGCAAATTTTCATGTTTTTTTTGAAAGATGAAACTAGTTATCAGAAGTGAAAAAAATTACATTTTGAACAGATGACATGAATACAAATACCAAAATGACATTAGATACAATACTGACATGAATACAAATACCAAAATGACATTAGATACAATACTGACATGAATACAAATACCAAAATGACATTAGATACAATACTGACATGAATATAAATACCAAAATGACATTAGATACAACACTGACATGAATACAAATACCAAAATGACATTAGATACAATACTGACATTAAAAACAAGAGATTAATATTAGTTAGCTGACATGATATGGCAGAATGACATCCTCTTGATATAAACTTTTTAATATATAGAAGTTTCTTTTGGAAATAACAGTTAAGTCAAATACTACGAAGTGAATATTCTGACTTTATTTTATTAATAAACTAATTTTGCTAAGCTAAACTAGGACTTCATATATGATAGATTTGGTTCAGAAATAAGAAGAGTGAATTTGGTTTGAGACTGCCAAAAGATAGTGTTTCAGTTTTTTTGATATTTGTGGAAAGGTAGTCAAAGAATATGCTAGCCATCCCTAATTTTAAATTGATAGATTAGACAGAAGGCAGCTAGTCAGCAACATCTAACACTAATTTCTTATATGACTCATAGTGAGTTTATCAATTACCCTTGTGATGTATCCTAAACCCCCAAATTGTGAAGCACAAGATTTTTTGTTTTTCTTTTTGTAGTAATGAGATGTGAATGATGGTCCTGCATGCTAACTACTGGGTCGTACTTGGCTCTACGAGTTCGATTTAGTACTGACTAATGCATAATTTTCATTTTAAAGTTGAAAGCTTAGAAATGTGTGTGTGTGTGTACAATGATTGTAAAAGTAAGGATAGAAAAAATTCTGGTTATAAACTTTAAAAGGTACAATACTGAAAGGATGTCCTTTAAATATACTGGAAATACATAAGGAAATTACAAATTGCCACCAGACCAGATACTTTCTTAAAGTAAGTATTAACTGGGTGAAAAGACTCATCAGCATTGGATATAGCAGAAATTCTATCAAAAAGTGTTTGGAAATTATTACATTGGTCAACTGACTTTAATATAATGAGGTTATGATAATTAGAAACAATTAGTGAGCATAACATTTTTAAGTGACAAAATACTTAAAAATTCAAATCAGTATCATGAAAGTTAGGCAGTTACCACATATAAATTACATTAAAAATTAATATCATAAAACAAATGTAACCAATTCAGTAAACATATTTAATAAAGATCACATTGTACTATGAATGTGTAGCTAATGTTGAACCACAATTTTAACAGCCTAGGGTTGGCAACTTTTAAGAATGTATTTGAGTGAGCCTTTTGAAAATTTAAATTTTAGTGAGTGGTAAAGTGCTGCAATTGCTGATGGCAGTCCCCTTCTAGGGGTGTGTGAGGGCACGCTCCCCCCAGAAAATGAAGCAAAATGGTGTGAATTGGTGCATTTTTTGAATGTATGTAAATCTGAATTTGGCACGAATCCATCTTGTCAAATGACCACAATGCATTATAAAATGCTGCTAATTTGATCAAACACCAGATGTTTTACTAAGGCATGAGGATAGGCCCAAATGTATGGGCCATTAATATAGGAAGAATTGTTTGTGTCTATGAATATGCTTTTCAACTCTATCTTAAAAATGTTCAACTGAGTTTGTAATCAAGGGATTATTACGATGAAAAAATATTTTAAATCCCCATCATGTTATTCAACTCTCGAATGAAGGTTGAATTAACTTTCTAAATGAGGCTCTAATCTTTAAGATAAAGATGTAGAGTTGTGTGATTACATCATCAGCAATAATGTTATGAAGGTGTTTGACATTACTGAAATTACCAGGTAAAAAACAGACAATTGATACAACAAATACAGCACCTGCAGTATGAACTGGTATGCAGTTTGGACTAAAGCAACCATACAGCTCTTGCCAAATGTTAACTACATCATCTATACAAAAGAGATTGGTCAGAGTGCATATTTCCACAAGAACACAGAGAGGCCGAGTTAAAACTAAGTAAGAAAACAGATATGAAAATGCACTAATTAAACAAATAGAAATGTTACTAAAATGTATTAAGTATTTATCAAAACTTGCAATTACATAACAACGAATAACTGCAAACATATAAGAACACCTTGAGATAAAGACTTCAGCATTTTCTGCCCAGAAGTGAATGAAAGAATGTTGCAAGTAAAGAAGACCTTACTAACTAGACATTTGGAGCCAAGCCTTCATGATAACATTTCACCTTTTCCAACGAATAATTGAGTTTTATTAGTAATGAGATATACAAGCACACTCCAAATTGTAAACAGTAACCATTTTGTTTTTTTCATCAACTCTGTGTTGATGTCCCTGCTCCTAAGAATGTATTACACTTCAACTTATTGATGGTTTAATATTGTTCCAAAACCATTTAAAGTAATTTTTTCTCTCTGCATTTGATGTGAATGTTTTATGCAACACTTAGCCACATCATATGCCATTGTAGGGATAGAAATGACAAATTAAGTCGACAAAATCTGTTCATACTTTTCTAAAGTCAGTTTGTCTTTAAATGTTGATTCAGTTATTATTTTTCTACTGATAATACAATTCTTGATGAATTTTGATGACAGATGGCTTTGAAGAACCAGTTAAAGAAATCACATCAGTTTTCACAAACTTTGTAGGTTTGTGTATTTACACAACAGAATAAATACAATACTGCTGCATGTACATCTAAATGTTTACAACCTTCACGTTACAATACAAATTGTTACCAGACCAAATATTTCCTTAGAGTAAGTATTATTTGTTTTGGTTTAGAAGAGGATTATTCTATTAAAACACAAACACACACGTTACAATGTATTATGACTAAATTATTAGAACTTCCCCTTTCCAGCTTAGTTGCTTAACTTGCATACTTATAAAAGGGAGTTTTAATAATATTTTTTACATAATAATAATAATAGTTTGTTGTGTTAAAGAAAATCAGAAATCACAAAACTGGCTTTTGTGAACAGTAGCTTTTTTTTTTTACACAATGGTACTGCTTAATTAATAAGCAACCCTACTTTAACTCTAAATTTAAGTACGCTTTTGATCGAAATGTTCTATTTTGTTTTCTAACACTATTATAAGTATGCACATACTGATTTTAGCAGAAATTCTGATACTGAGGTTTAAGTTCCAATTCTGTTTATTAAACATTTTCAAGAAAAAATGAAGTTATTAAAATTTTGACACTCCAAAACAATCCTACCAATTTGATAGAGCTTGAAGGGCTGAGTTCATATAACATGTATTTCCAAGGTTCTGTAACCCTGTCAAACCTGCAACAGATTAATTTGTTTTATAAACACAGACTTGTATTTCAAAACAAGAAATTCTATAAATTTAACATTTTTTGTTTAAAATTAAAAAACAACAACAAAATTCCAAGCGTATGTCGCTCTGACATGTATTGAGTAATTATATGAAGACTTCAAATCACATAAATAAGCCTGAAAGCAAATGTATTTTATGTTAATATCTTCCTTATCCTGAAAATGTATTTCCAATAGATACCTCCTGTATAAAGATTAGCTATTTTCCTTTTGAAGTCATGCTCTTCTGCCTGAGAGACTTGCATGCCACCAGTCTTGTGAAACTCCCACCTAAAATTTATGTGAAAACACATAAAATTGCACTACTGCATGATGATGTATCATGCAGCAAAACCCTTCACCAACAGAAGTTGCCTCACCTTCCTGTGCAAATGCTCTCTCTACATTCACACACGAAAATCCTCATTATTTGATGAGGCAACCATAAAAGTGCACCAGAAAAGTGGGAAGGAAGGGTGGGAAAATGTAGGAGGTATGTATTTATTGGAAATACATTTTTGAGTAAGGAAAATATTAACTTCTGATATGATGACTCATCTACATATACAGATTAGCTAGAATCTCACACTGAAATGGTGAAGGGACTGGTGCAGAAATGATCTAGATGAGACTCCTTTCAAGAGCACTAAAAGGAAGTCCATGGGTTTCGACACTGTATGGCAGGAGTTTCATAGGGGTGAACCCATGACAGCCTCCATCTCATCTCATCCAGGGTATATATATTCTTCACCCGAGTGAAGGGGAGCCAAGAAGCCTGAAAGGTGTTGCAAAAATAGATGTAATAGGTAAATGACAGTCCAAAAGCTTGCACACGAGCTGTTGGATGGCCAATATGTGTAGTAAGGTTGGGGCATCTCATCTCCTTGACCACCAATTTCTACGGGTCAGTATCAGCTGTGGGAGATGGGAACATGTGAAAAGTATCCATGCACAACTCTTCAATCATCAGACACTAAGGGCCCACACAAGTTGTAGGAGGAGAGCACCACAGTGGACACAACTAATATGGATACTAATGAAACCACCACTCAAACATCAGACCTACAGGCCAAATGCCAGCTGTGGGAGTAGGGTGAACTATACATTACAGATGGATATAAAGAAATATCAGTTACTCTGCAAGCATATTCTGTGGGGTCATGTCCTTGCAGAAGTAGGTAAAGAAGAAACAGAGAGTAAATGAGATATGTGTCTGAAATCCATTCTGAGATTGTGATTTATCAAGATAAGGTTGGGGTGGTCTGTACTACACTCGGGAAACACCCCTGACTTCTCAGCATAAAGGGACCCCTGTTGTTGCACCAATTGTTAGGTTATATATAGCAAGGATTCTCCATAGTCCACCACCAAAGTGGCTGGAAGCTGGTAAGTGGAAAGGGTTTTCCTTGCTCCACTCGAAGGAGGGGGAGTATTCTTGTAGGGGAGACTGAGATAATGTGCCTGGATCCCCATCAGTCCTTCAATTCAAAAAGGTTTTTTACTGGAGACAGTGCAATAGGTAACTGTAATACCCTATTTTTAAAAGCTGGCAAGTGCTAGTCAGAGAAGCAGGCAGAAGCACAACTCTACAGTCTAGATCAGACTGGAAAAGTTACATAAATACCATGAGTAGAACTCCAGCAGTCTTCAAAACACCCCATCTCACTGATTAAGCCAGGGCAGATGGTCTGAGCACTTTCATGTTATTATGCAGCAGCACAGTTTCATGTGTATTTTAGGTGGAAGTTCCACATGTCTAGTGACATGCAAGCCTCTCAACTTCAAGAGAAAAATAGCTAATCTGTGTATGGAGGAGAGTCATTGTATCAGAAGTACATGTACCCTGCAATGGATGTGAAACTAGTTTAAAACTCTTAAATAATTATATTGTGAAAATAAATACAAAATTACCTAACTAGATCATGCATTTATACAATGGATTTACACATGTGCTAAAATTATTACTCAATGTTGGACAACAAGTTAATGGTATTGTTCCACAGTACTATACATAGAAAATGGGAGTCAGCACACTGGAATATTATGTATCCAGCAGTATGTTAAACATGTTTATTTTTAAAATATTTTTCAAATTATTTTTGGTAAAGTGATGAAACACTTGTTGAGATAAATATTTAAGATGTTTCTGGACATACACTTACTTTTATTGCATAACATTTAACTATACGATAACAAAGCTTTATGGCAATCTAACAGAAAGCACTACATTCGCATTAAAATATTACTTTGATTTGTTATTATAAGTAAAATTATTTTCTTCACAGTGTAAAAAATAAAATTAAACTGCCACAACAAAAAAAGGACACTTAAAAACATGTTTTTATAACATATAACTAACACTATCAAAAACAATGGACGTATATATATATATATATATATATAATGTGTGTGTGTGCATGCATCGTTGTCTACACACACACAGTTATGTTACACACACACATTACTAAAATTGTTGGATGTTGTCACTTTACCATATGTGTCACTTATTTTCAGATGCTACTTATAAAGCACTGATACCATAACTAAAACACAATCATATTTGTTTAAATTTATCTATTGAAATAATAAACTTGACACAAACTTATCTTGAGATTGGTAAAGGCAACTGTTATTCTAAATTGAAAATACACATATAAAGCTATTTTTTATTCTTATAATGAAAATAAGAAAATCAACAAAATATCATCTCTGAACATAGGGTGCTCTTACATAATATACAGACTGTAAAATCACATTTTCCTAGTATATACAAAAAGCTATATTGACACTGGTACATGTACATATTTCTGTCTAACAAATAAATTGTTTAGAAGCCAAGAAAAAAAAAGGCCAGTACTGGTGGGACAACAAGATTAAACAAGTTCAATAAATTACAAATGTGTACAAAGGAACCTTCATTTAAAACGTTATTTCTCAGACTGCTTTACGAGTTGCAACATTGATAATATAAACTTTAAGTGAACAATACCATTAGAATAATTCTAATGTAGTGTAATATCTAAATAATGGATTAAATAGTAAGTCTATACTCACATGTATAGTGTTAACTTTATTGCTGTGAATGAACTACATTTATAATAAATATAAAAAAAAAATTAATACAGGTCACAAAAAAAAAGCTGGCTTCTCACCTCGTGGTTTCAAATTCTGACAATCTTCTTCTTCGTCATCTTCTGAAACAGGGTCAGCTATATATACTTTACTCGAAGAAATATGTCGCATTGGTCCGGTGATCATTCCTGGTAATGGTGGGTCATTGTTTTCTAGGAATACTTCACATTCACACAGGTAACACCATACACGTAGAGTTGTCAAGTTTAGTGTCAAAGAATGATCAGGCTTTTCCTAGATCAAAGTTGCTCATTTCATTTAATAGTTCACAGTGCTAAAAAAGTTATGTCTTTTAAACCACAAAGAGCAAAAAATGTATTCTAAATTTTAAAAATAGTAGAACAAGGTTTATGATACTTTTTGGCAGACCAAAAAAAAACTTAACTATAAAATTGGTTTCCATATTTACAAAAACCTTTTTAATTAGGGCCTAGCATCTGCCATAATTTATACTGTTTAACTCGTTAAGTGTGTACCAGAGTTGTTGGGATGAGCACCTAAAATCCAATAAACAAAATCAATATTTAGTACATTTTAAAGTTAACAAATGGAAGTTTGACACCATAGTGTTAAATCTTTTTTCTTGAAATGAAGGATTTTTTAATATAAATAAATCTCAAAAGCCTAGAAGTTATTTAATCACATAACAGCTATGTGAAGGCACATAAATTAGGAAATATAACGTACCCTATAAATAATGCATCGGTCAGAATCAAAAAGAATACCTTTAACATCTATTTGAATATTTAAGCCATAAAAAGTAAATACTGAAACCATAGATTTCAAGTGACAGATTATGATATAATATAAAATTTGAACAAACAAAATCACATTGTAAAAAACAAACCTTTTTTTTTTTTTGCAAACAACTCCTATTTGGCATAAGGAAAGTTCAGTTCTTAAAAAAATCTTTATTCAACATATCAGCTCTTTTTTGACAAAAGTATTTGCAGAGAAATCAATTTACCAAATAGAAAGAAATTTAATATTGGGCAAGATATATTCAATATCATGCTATACCAATTCTTTAACAGCTATGTAAGTAATTTCTCTTGAAAATTTACAACTTACAAAAACAAAACAAGAAACTACTTCAATAAGCTTCATTAACAAAGCAAGCAATAAATCCCTAATTAAGGTAAATATTACTAACATATATATATATATATATATAAACTAGTTCAAGAAGTGTTACCATACACATATATGTGGACT